AGTCTCTGTCCATCTGGTAGATTTGAGGTCATCTGGTTCACTACAGTGAAAAGAAATTGTCCATCATTAAACAGGGGTGGAGGCCTCCTGGTTCAACTGTCCCCCTCTTACAATGCTGTGATTGCTAGTATCACTCAACCCCCTGTGAATAGTAAACAGCCATCAGTGTGCTAATGATCCATTGTTAGGCTGATGGTCCTTCTTGACCATGTGAGCAGCTGGTTTTGGTTGTCAGCAGCAAACTGGTTGATCCACTCTGAGAAGGTGCTATTTAAGAGACTGAGCTGAATACAGTACCTCAGACTGAGGAAGTCTCTCGGATGAGAGACGAAATATTTTTACATTTTCTTTTTTTTTTTTTTGCTTTTTTTTTTGTTTCCTTCACTGAAACTGTTTCGTCTAAGAAAACTTCTGGAGAAAACACGCGCTTTGGAGAGACGCTCAGAAGACTTCACTGGAGTTCTTTTTCTAACTTCGTTCAGTGTTTCACTATGGGAAATGCTCCAGCGTGACCATCTATGGAGGCTCCAATGACATTACGTCTGTCAAAGACAGACTGGTTGAGCTCTATTCAGGGCTCCGCTCCCACCATGACACCACAGTCAACCGACCACCTCCTACTCATTCTCGCTTTCTTCCCATGAGAAACTACAATTTGTACAACAAGCTCCCTCAGCACAGTCAGGCTAGCTAGGTTAACTGCTAAACAGTTCTCAGGCGTCCCGTAAAGGAGTACGTTGCCGAACGCAGTTCCTGGCGTCAGCTCGAACCGTGTTGAGTAAGTTAGTGCTTCGCAAGAAGTAACTTTGTTACATTTGGGAGTGGTGACCGCGTCAAGGCGAGCTGTTCCCACCACTCAATTTTAACTAATCGAGTGGTTGCAAGTGTAATGCTAGCTAACGCGTCAAGGCGAGCTAGCTTTCCTTTAGAGGTAGCATTAGCTTGGTACTTTTAGAGGCTTTCCATTACAGCTAATGTGTTACGACAAGCGTTTTTTAGCCTAGCAGTTAGCCCGGTTTTAACACCGCGGCTAGCTTTAGCGATGAACAGTTAACGTGTCACGACAAATTAGTTCCCTTATCATTATGGCCATGGCACCCACCCCCACCAAAGGGTCGGAAACTAAGGCCAAAGAGGCTGTATCTTGCCAGTGCCCCTCGTCCATATGGGGCACTGGCATATCTGGGCCATATCTCCCATAATGAAACACCGAACAAAGTTAGAAAAAGAACGTTAGGTTACTTAATGTAACCCGGGTTCTTTGATAACAGAGTGAGGTGTTTCACCAATACTTCCCTCCTTGCATGGTCACGGAAAGAAACCATCCTAGAATGAGTAGGAGGTGGTCTACTGACTGTGGTGTCATGGTGGGGGTGGAGCCCTGAGCACAGCTCAACCGGTCTGTCTTTGACAGACGTAATGTCATTGGAGCTTCCGTAGATGGTCACGCTGGAGCGTTTCCCATAGTGAAACACCTCACTCTGTTATCAAAGAACCGGGGTTACGTTAAGTAACCTAACATTTTGGAGAGAAAATTCCAGAGAGACACGCTTCTGCACAGAGAACTGGAGAGAAGAAACCCAGCTTAACCAGAACCAGGCATTAACCTGAAAGCTGTCTACCAGAACCATCACACCTCAGAGTAGTAAATCCCAGCTGACTCCCATATGGACCCTCGTGCCTCTAAGATGACAGGTGAACGTTGAGTAGACTTCAGCATCTTAGTAACTGGAACGTCTGGGCTGGCACCATTTTAAGCAGCTGTTGGAACGATTCTGTCCTCTCATCCTGGGAGGAAAGAGACTTTTCAATGCCTTTCTGGTGAACCTACATCACAATTTACCAGACAAACTTAGCTCATCTCAGACAATTTTAACTATTTCACAAAACAGCAACCAGTCCAAAATCTGCCTTTTAAGTTTCACTAATTTGAAAAATCAATTAGACCTTTGAGTCAAAGCTATTTGTTATTCACTTCACTTTTGTTAGGCATAATTTTCATCACATACATCATAGATTATTATTTTTATAATAAAATACATAAAATCAAACTGAATTTGTGATTATTTTGGCATATCTGTGTGTATTAACTTATGTGATGCTCTTCAAACACAAGAAAATAACTCACGTTTCAGTTTACATTATTTTAGGGTAAATAGAGACTGATTTTCTTCTCCAAGAGAGAGGTGGTGCCCACACAACGAGGTTATTTGCATAACACATGCATATCTTATGAGCATAACTCATAACTGATAATTAACAATATATATCTAGCCCCGTATCGCTGTACACTGGTGTCACTCTGCCCTTTGCTGTTTAGGTTTATATCATATTTTGTTCACTGATAACAACAAAAGTGACTAAATATTTCCAAGTTTCCCTATTTTAATAGAAATATTCAGTTTTATCTTTTGTCATTTGTGGCATTTTGATGGCCCAGTGGAGCAGTGGTTTGAACTCAACCCAGCTGGTGGTTGACTCGGGCATTTGTTTGCGTACCTGCATTTTCTTAGCTACTCCAGTTTACACTCACAGACCACAATCAAGCATGTTAGATTAACTAGTGACAAAATTAATGTTGGTGTTAGTGAGAGTTTGAATAGTTGTCTGTGTCGTAGGTCTTTTTTTGAACATGTGATCTGTTCAGGGGACACCATACCAGACCCCAGTCATGGCACATTTGATGGTGATAGGCACCACTTTACCCTGCAATGCTTGTATGTAAAATGGATTGATAGATTTTATTGTGACAAGTAAAAAACATTTTTCTTTCATTCAAACTTATTTATCACGTTGAGCTTCTGGGACTCATTTACAAGAGAGACCTGATTTTAACAAAGAGTGATGACAACAATTGACAGCAAAAATAATGGTAGACAATCATAAAAAGCATACAAGTTGAGAAGAACAAATAAATGTAAATGGTATTAAAAAACAAAACAAAAAACAGCTAGGTTGTAAAGTGGTGTAAAAACTTTAAACAGGAACATGTCTGCATTGCTTTTTGCCAGGAATTTAACAGATGTTTCAAGCCACTTAGAGAGGTCAGGGTTGAGAGATTCATAAAGTTATAAACATTGTTGGTATGTAGACCATTAACCAAAAGGTAATATAAAAAAGTAATTTGTAAAAAAACACTTGCACATGTTTAGACAACTTTCAGTGTTCAAGACTGAAAAATGTGTTGCTTATCTGGTTCTTTTACCTTTTTATCTTTAAAAATGCAAAAAAAAAACAAGTATGACATTACAACAAAAGAAGGGAGAAGGTGACTTCTTTGGTTGGATTTTTTTTTAGATAAAGCTGCAGGGTGAGGCTAACTACAATAAAAGGCACTGGAAAAACACAAACAACTTATTAGACTGTCAGGCCCTCTGGTTGAGACGCTTCACATTTTCCAAGGTAAAAACAAACTTTGGTTTTTACATTTACATAAAAATATATATTTCAGTAAGACTAACCTAAAGCTACTTCAACTAAAAGTATTGAAAACTGTTATAGAAAATTTGTGTTTTGTTTATTTAGACCTTACATTTGAAGTCTGCAATTATGACCAAGAAGGTAAATATTATAAATCCCAAATATTGTAATGCTTAACTTGCACAAGGCGACTTGTATTTTTACACACATGTATATACATATATGTTTGTTTTGTTTTGTTTTTTAAGCAGAACCTTATATTTGCTGCAATTCTGCTGCTTGGTATGTTCACCTCAGCAACTAAAGAAAAATTATTCAGTTTTGAAAAATTTACAGTCTGCATAAAATCACTAACAAACATGTTTATTACATTTACCAGGTTATGTGGGACTAAGTCATCAAGGTAAAACACATTCACTGGATAGTTTCAAAGTTAAACCTGCTGTCTAAATCTCTCTGGTGTTTAAAAGTTTTTAAATTATGGATAATTTCAACATGATCTTTGGTCACACATGTCTGCTCATTTTTGCTCCTGCAGAATGCTGGACCAAGTGGTACAATCGAGACAACCCCACTGGAACTGGTGACTGGGAGGATATGGGTGACCTGAGGAGAGAAAATCCAGGAGAAATTTGTCCCAAGCCTCTGGGTATGCAGGTCGTTACTGTAGACGATGGGACCCCAGCTCAACAGACAGGACAAATATTCTACGTGTAAGTGTTATTTAAAATGTAAAATAAAATAAAAAAAAGCATCTGATAAACTGCCAAACTCAGTTTTCCATCTTCAGTTTGTAATGATGCACTGTCTTAAATCTCTCCCTACACAGCCACTTAAAGCTGTTTTTCCATTTCTAACTGTTGTTTATACAAATGGAATAATTTTCACAGAATTTCACCATTAAAATAAAATTTATTGAGCTTAATCATAAAAGATAAACTTAAAAAAACAAAACAAAACTGATTACATTATCTGATTTGGCCAACAACAAAACAAAGAATATATATTTATATTTACCTTGTAACCTGTGTAATAAATTTAAATATTAAATAAAAACAATTACTAGTGGTATTTTAAATGTGTAGCATTCAAAATTGAAATTGGATTGCTGACTCATTATGTGATGATTTCAGGTACAGTGCATCTCAAGGATTTGTTTGCCGCAATGCGGACCAGCCGTCTGGAGCGTGCAGGGACTATCAAGTTAGCTTTTTGTGCCCATGTTTTATGGCACCTGTACCAGTCTGAAAACATTGATGCGACTGACCACAGAAAAAAAATGCTGATTTGATTTAAATGTTCTTAATTTTTTTGTTTGTTTGTTTCATTCACACTTTTTTCGCCTC